CCAGGCCAGCCAGACCGGTGCCCGGGGGGGGACACCAACTTGGTAAGTTGTTGCCTGGGTGTTTGCCTAGTTGTCACGAGGTGCCATGTGTCGCAATTTCACTGGAGTGCCAAATCTGCCCTCATCAGTTTCCAATGCAGGCTTAGATGTGCTTGTGAGGCATGCTGTGGGGCGCAGATGTGAACTCAGGTTGGTGTCCCCATGTTTCCATAATCTTCCATCGGTTGTGAGTTAGGAATTGTTGTCCAGTCGGAGGGAGAAAGAGCTGCATTTTGGTATAGGAAATTTAGATTTGCTCATCACGGAGCATACCTCACACCAATCCCACAAGGCATCGCAGCCATGCATTGGAAGCATCTCCCCACCAATGACAACTTACAAGTATAGAAATGTTCTCAATGTGTAGCTCTAAGTAAGGGCGTTAATAGACCGGTTTTGGATTGGATCCCGTCTAGTCCAAAATCAATTTGGACGGACCGATAAGACATATTTGATTGGATCAATCTGGTCCAAAATATTTATTAGATTGGATTGGATCTGGTCCGTCTGTAATAAATTTATATTAGATTGGGTTGGATTAAGCCAATATCTGGTCCATTGATATAAGATAAGAATATAGGTGTTAATGAACTGGGCTTGGGTTGAAACCAATCTAAATCAAAATGAATTTGAATAGATTGGACAGTCCAGATATTGAATTGGACCGCATCCAAAATATCCATTGGATTGGACCTGGTCTATTTATAATGGTCTCACATTAGATTAAATCGGATTGGAGCAAATTCAGTCCAATGGACACCCCTTTCTCTAAGTGCTAGTGCTGTGAGGTTGGTGTAGGGCATGCTCTGTGAGGATCAAATCCTGATTCCACGGGAAGTTGCAGACTTCCCATATGTGGATTAGTGACATATAGGAGAGGGAAAAACTCATGATGCTGAAAAGTCATGATTCCTAAAAGGGCATTTGACCAATGAAGGAGCTCTGTGAATAAATATATCATTTGATTGGTTTCCACTTGTGTGAGATTATGATGAATGAGGAATGCAACCCGGTTATTTGAAGTTAAGAGTTGGTGCTCGGTTACAGTACTGGATGCTTTGGTAATGAAATTGAACTTGGGCATTTGAGTTTTGAGAGACCACCAACACCATACTTGGGTACTGAAACTCAACTCGTGAACTTTGATAGATAAGTTTGCCACTGGAGTCCTCTCAAGTCTCGTCTCATCAATCTAAAAAGAAAATTAAATAGAAATACAGAAAGATTAGCGTGGCGTTGGCGTGTAGTCGTGTAGAAGCGAATTAGAGTTTTGAGGCATGCGCATAACCATGCTATATTTATATAGGCTGCTGACTTGGGCGATAGTAGTCGGATGTCATAACTAAACTCAGCACCATACCATACAAACAAATAATATTTCAATCTCGCTGGCTGGTGAATGGTGATATATGTCCGTGTTTTATTGGCGGGTCACAAGAGATTCTTCAGGAAACAATTTCAATACTCAATGGTGTGGGGCGTGGTATCTCTCTATTTTACGATTATCGCTGACTCAGACACAGAGGCGCATAGCCGTATTATATCAATGGACATAAAGATCAGAACAAGTGAGTATAATAATAAAAAGGGTAATTCTTGATGTGATTATGTACAAATTACATGGGTGATCAATGCCATTGCCAATGGTAATTGAATTTACTTATTACTACAACAGAAGACGACCCTTGAGGAAGGCTTTGCAGAGTCGCTTCCAGGCGTCGCTGTCTGGGTCGCGTTGCTCCACGTTTAGCTTGGCCAGCTCAAGTTGGGAGGCATCAACCAGGTTGCGCTGATGGAGACGGTCGACGATGTTGAGGAAAACGTCCTTGGTGTACTCGGGGTGGCCCTGAATCCCCATCATGTGATCCCCATACCTGAACATCTCCACCCCTGTCTTGTCAGACCGCGCCATCACCTCTGCCTTGGGAGGCAATTCCTTCACCTACATTCAATTCACACCATTGTCTCATCTCCCTACTGTCTCTCTCTCTCTCTCTCTATATATATATATATATATTAATCACTTTTAAGTCCAACCCAACAACAAGAGGCAACCGAATTACAGACCTCATCTCGATGGCATTCGATGATGGGTAGGCGGGGCGGCAATTTGAGGGCGGAGAAAAGCTTGCTGGGCGCCAGGTTGACGCTTCTCACTCCAATGTCCCATCCCGACCCTGCACGTCCCGTCTTTCCTCCCAATGCCCGGCTCAATATCTGCTACCACCACTTCCACAATTCCTATCACCTTTTCATTCTTTTATATCAACAACATACTATTAACGCAAGCTTCGTTTGCGATTGTGAGTCTCTTTTGTACTTGAGTAAGCTAAAAATCGGCAAAATTTTTGTTTGAAATAAATAATCGTTTTAAAATGCACAAAAAACCTTATTTAGGCCCGTCTGACATGTGCAGGCCGTGCGACCCACGTTTTCGTACTTTCCCATTTACAAATATACACATACACACTATAAAAATGCTTTTGAAAATCCCATTTAGGCCATAAACAATACTAAGTGCATCATAAATTAATATAGGATGGGTGAGTTGGTGAGTCCCATGATGAAAAATGAAAAAAAAAGCAACCCATGTTTCAAATTAATAACCCAGCCCGATGTACATGATTTGTCTCCAGCCAATCCGGGCTCACCTTAGACTGTGTCGAATGAGATGGACAGAAAATTGAGTGCACAAGCCAATATTCACTATGGGCCCCATTTGTACTGGCTCATGATCGGCTTCCATCAGGGCAAACCTGTGCCCGCATCGTTCTAACAATCCTTTCATACCTTGCATTGAGAATATCTTCCCATGAACTAAAGCATATACTTAAGGAGATATTCTCAATGCAATGCAAGGCAGTAAAGGCTGAAGCCGATTCTACGATTTTGTACTTGGGTAAATAACTCTTTTTTTGTTGGTGCAAAAAAATTCTAAAAAGAATTATGGTTTATGAGGTGAAATAAAAAGCCCTAAATTTCTAAAACATGATGGGACAAACTTGTCCCTTCATTTATCATTATATAATTTCACCTGATTAATCAAAAAGGCTTAAATGATTTATTGAAATATTTAATTAAAATTAAGTATTAACATTTACCCCCGGATAACTGTATATACTTGGATAAATGATTGATCAAAAGGATAAAATAAATGATAGGGTTAAATGGTTAAATTCTCTTTTTAGATTTTACCACACATCCCGTAACTCTCGTTCCCTGCTTTTTTTTGCCTAGATAGAAATAACGGGGTTTGAGGCTTTCGGCATCGTATCGACCAGATAGCAATGTGACATTAGAGACTCAACGGTACCCCCCCAATTTCCTTGCCGGTATTGGTCAGATAATCGGACGGATATGAGGCCGCCGGCACTTCTACGTGCCAGACCGAGACCGCACCTGACAGGTTCACGCTGGATTTCCATCTCCTCACTCTATCACTCATCCCACCCAAAGACAAAAGCCTTACAAAACACATCATTTCCCCATTAAACGGGGCTCAGACGTACTAGATGACCATCATGCCCTTCTCCGGCTTTTCTTCTACCATCTTTTTAATTATCTTGGGTAATCAGCTCTTAGGTAGGTTACTTTAGTCCAACTGAAAATCCAAATCCTCCCCTCTGTCTTAAATTCTGAACCCAAATCAAGACGATTTGGATAATCAGATAGAAACAAACAGGAGACATGCATGAACAACAATCAGACCGATCGCGCCAATGTATTAAACAAAAACGAAATTAAACGATAAACCAGATCTGCAATATATCTGAATATTCATAAATTCCATCAGAAACAGCCCTTTCTTGGTTGTTTGTTGGTAGAAAAGACGCCCATACCTGGTGGCCAAAGCAAATGCCCAGAACCTTCTTCTTCATGGAATCCAACTTGTTCAGCAGATTGATCAGCTTCAGGATCCACACTTCATTGCCGTGAGCGTCGCTGCAGCTGCCCGTGAGCACGAACCCGTCGTAGGAGTCGAGCTTATCGTCGTCGGGGAACTCGTAGGCGGCCACCTTGTACCTGTCCCAGGTCTCGCCGTCGTCCCCCAGCATTCCCACGAATATCCCGAAATACCCGCCGTAAAGCTTCTTGACGTAGTCCGAATCGTCGGCGCAGAGAAGAACAGCGAATCTTTTCTCACCCATTTCTTCGAATCCCACCAATCGCCGGACGCCCACGCCGCTCTTCTCCGACCCCCCCTCTCTCTCTCTCAATCAGAAACGAAGAAAGTATGCAACTGCTGGGCTGCGCAACCGGCCTATTTAAGCGAGCGCGTTTCCGAAAACGCCCAAAGTTGGCCACCCTAATTTACGACTATACCCTCTCCTGTTTGGGGATTAAATTCCCATATAGCAAGTTTACACAACTGCCGTCGTTAAGTCATAATTGTTTAGCTGGAAGCCTGGGAGTGGAAACGCACTGCCTTGTCCGGTTGTCCGTAGCGATTATGTGGCTTTCTTTCTTTGGTTGATTTTTAATGCTTCGTTTGTTATAATAATATTAAATGTAAATTATCATTTATTTTTGTTTCAAAGCAACGATACTTTAAAATAAAATTAAATCAGAATTTACATTTTTTTCTATGTGCATTCCAATTAGTACATGCAAAATTGCACTACAATCAAATACAGCCTTGTAAATATATGTTTAATTAGACAATTAGGCCTAATTAAAAAAAAAAGAAGGATCTTTTTGGTAGTTCTCAGTTCTCACTTCTGACTTAAACCACGTTAAACTGTAGAACTCAAACGTGGCACTCTCTCAATGCCACCTTGCTGCTATCGACGGAAATACCCTTTTGTCGGAAAAAAAATAAACATAAGATGTATAGCACGATTCTAACCGGATTCGATTTGATAAATATCTGAATTCGATTGATTATTTAATTTTTATATATAATATTAAATATTAAATATATAATTAAATTATATAAATAATTTATATACTTATATGCTTTATATAAATAAAATATTTATTTTATATATTAATTAATTACCTCAAATAATTAATTGGTTGAATTCGATTCAAGTCGAATATTCAAATATTTAATCAAATTCAAATATCGGTTGGATATCGAATCAAATTCGGATATTATATTTTCTAATCGGATTCAAATTCGAATGTTGCCAGATTTGATTCAAATTCAATCATTTTACACCCCTAGTTTTGCTAGTAGCAGATCTGATCACCTTGTATGTAGGGTTTTATCACGACTTCTTCATATATAATGTGGGCCCCACATAAGGGTGATCATAGGCAGGGCCAGGCTTACGCACTTATGATAAGTCTTCGCCCAAAATATAAGTCGGGCCAAGAATGATCACCCCTACGTCCCACACAAAACAGCCTATAAGTTACGTTGGTGAAAAATCCGGAAAGCTCAAAAGCGGGGTTGTTTAGGATATGGTTTTTAAACTGCAGTTGACTTAGATGGTCGGACCGTTCATCCAAAAAATTGTTCAGGCAACTGTTTTTATTTTATCTTAAATTCGGCCTTTGGTAAAAAAATGTTGAATCAGTCAATGATTTATTGACCCGGGCGGTTGAACTGTTGACCCGTTCAATGATTTTGGCTTTTTTTATTTTTAATTATTTTTTAATTTTGTTGTCAAAACGGGCTGTCCGTTCGAACCGGATGGTCAAACCGTCAACCTGGAAACCGGTGGCCAAAATGGTTCCATTTCCGGGTCGTTTTTTTAGAACCATGGTTTAGGAAGAAAACTGGCTTTTTGGTCTTCTTTAGTTCTTTTTCTTTTATTCCTTTTAGTTCCCATTTGGGAAGACACTTCGACGCAATTGAACGAGTTTAGGTGAACCTTTAGCTCAACCGTCCCAAACCGGCCCTTAATAACTTCTTCAAAGTGGTTCAATAAAAGTAGCTCAATCAATGCGTTTTCCCATGGTTTTGAAAACCAGACTGGACCAGATGGTTGGATCGGAAAAGGGAACCGGTCAAGTGAACGTTTCCGTATTATCCTAGAACCGTTATTTTGCCCAAAACCATTGATTTGGTTAGCAAACCGCTGACTCGGGCGATCGAACCGTTCAAACTATCTAACGGTTTTGACTTGTTTTTTTATTTATTATCAGAATGGGCCATCTATTCAGTTCAAACGGTTGAACTATTTGACCCGAGAACCGGATCCTGACCAATTCGTTGTCCGGTTCAATTTTAAAAACCTTGCTTCTTCCCTCCCAAATGGGCCTTAGACTTTTAGCAATCTCCTCTTTTTTTTTTCATTAAATTGGATTAATTAATGGATTAAGAGTTCACATCTACGCCCCACAACGTCCCATATCACATCCCTGTCGTGTATTAAGAATATCTTCCGATGATAATATTATCGGTTCTGATACTATCATAAGGAGATGTTCTCAATACACGGCGAAAATGTGCTGTGGAACATTGTAGGGCACAAATCTGAACTCATGGATTAAATAAGATATAAAGAAAACGAGAAGACATGATCCCCATAAACGTCGAAAAGCCAAATCCGGTGCCTTCGTTGAAGGAACAAACAAACAGTACCATTAATCCAAATCATATTCACCACCCCAAGAAGAGGATTCTCAGAGAATTAGTGTTCGATTTCCGTTGACAGACAAGTAGGGAGAAAGTTAATTAAATGCTGGTTGTGCATTGCTTTTTTTTTTCTTCTTTCATTTCGCTTTCAGCCGTGTCAAGCGTGGGCTGGCCGAAGCCGTTTTATAAAGTGTTTATCTACGTAGATTGCCCAAAAGAGGAAGTTAACCAAAACTTGTTGATCTATTAATAAAAGCTTCGAATTTAGGGTTTTATTACCGCATACTGTTTTTAGTACTAGGGATGTGATGGGGATCAATAGGCGAAAGCTTGACAAAAGAGAAAATAGGGATTAATAAAGACAATGTTTTGACGCTGAATTCAATTAAGGTGGTATCTTACCCATTTATAAAAAAAGAAGAAATGGACGAATCGTCCAACACTTTGATTTTATATTTTCAATCCTATTCTTTTAGAATGCGAGAATGGAACAAATAGAGTTTGTGGGTTTTTAATTTTATTTCTCACTGATTTCATATTTTTAATCCTATTTCCTCTTAAAAATGCTTGAAGAGAATAGATTCGTCTAACACCCTTATTTTATATTTCCAATCCTATCCTATCTCTGATTTCATATTTCCAATCTTATCCTCTCTTAAAATGCCTAAGAGAATGGGACAAGTAGAGTTTTGACGAACACCCTAGATTACAAATGTTTGGTCTATTTTTAGAACAGCTCCAGTCCAACCAGATTAGTAAATGAGATAATTAATAAATTACTAATGCAGTAATTAATAAATAAGTATATTACAATAATCTATAATTAATATATTAATTAGCAAGGCAATAATTATTAAATTAGAACAATTAAAGCATTACTATTATTAATAAATTTATTATTTATAATTATTAATCAATAATATTCATTTAAATTTACAAAAATAATAATAGTAATTTCTGAAAATAAATACAAATAATTAATTTATTAATAAATTACTATTAATATTTATCAGTAAATCATTATCAATAATTTCTAAAAATTTTAGTAATTGATTGTTGGTAAAAGATATTGAAATAATTACATTTCTAAAAATTATAATTATGATTTCAGATAATTATAAATTATTGATTAATTTCATTCGAAAATGAAAGATAGTTTGGTGTAGTTTTAGGAAATTATGGATGATTTATTGATTATTCATTAGATTACTGAAATTATTGAAAATTTATTGATTATTCAATCAATAAATAATTATTGAAAATTAATAATTGATTATTCAGAAAATTAGCGTAATTCTCATTATTAAATTTTCAGAAAATTATTGATTAATTTTAATTGAAAATAACAGATAAGTTAGTGCAATTTTGGAATTTTATGACATTTTTTTTAATATTTGGAATATTATGGAAAATTATTGTAATTATTGAAAATTTATAATTATGTTATCATAATTTATAATTATTGATTTTTTATTATTATCAATGTAATTATAATTATTATACTAAAATAATTGTTAGTGCAGTTTAACTAATTCCTTTTTTTATAATCTCAAATAGTAATTCCTATTATCTAATAATTTTTGAAAAACTAATAATAGAAAAAACTTTGAATCTTGATTTAAAATAATGGAAATTAATAGTAATAATTATTGTTACATAAATAACAAATTTCCATTTTGTACCAATTCCAATAATGTAATTATTAAATTACACAAGTTTCCATTATTTAATAATAATAATTACTGCAGAATTATAAATTACAATAAAATCTGTTATTTGAAATTACTATAATTACAGTAATTTTGAAATACAGAAATTCCAATAATAAATTTTAGTGTAATAATTACAGTTTTTTTTCAAAATAATTTTATTACACTTATAAATCTTATTGGAATTTTATTGTAATAATTCAATTACAATAATTATTGTAATGAAAATTTTATTTCAAATTACAGATTTGTTTTTCATATTAACTTTATTACAGAAATAATTATCTTTGAATTTTTAGTGTAAATTATTATTTTATGGAAATTTATAACAATAATTGTTATTGAAATTTTATTGATGATAATAATTACAGTAATAATTATCATTGGAATTTACATTTTCAGAAATTTATTTATGTAATTTTATTGGTGTAGTAATAATTATTAATAGGGGTGGATACGAGCCAAGCCGAGCCGAATATTTGACTATTCGAGCTCATCTTGACAATAAAACATCAAGTTCGAATTCGGGCTCGAGCTCGATTCGAACTAGAAATATCAGTTCGAATTCGACACAAAAAAAAACATTTATATTCGAGCTCGGTTCGGCTCGAGCTCGAAATGATCCGAGCCTACTCGAGCTTGAATTCAAACTCGAATCCAAGCCTATCCGAGCTTGAATTTGAGCCTACCCGAGCTCGAATTCGAGCTCAAATCCGGATGAATGTTATTATTCTTGTAGAAAATCAGAATTATCCTCATTTCTAATTAAAAAATGACCTGTAGAAAATCAGAATGAATGTTATTATTTTTCAACTAAAAATTACAGATTTCAAATAACTTTTTTCAATGGCGTGGATGCAACTTGCAAGACGAACCAAAATCACAAAGTCCCTGTAGAAGCCATAAGAAAATCCGAAAGAAGAAGAAGAAGAAGAAGAAGAAGAAGACCTGTCGCAGAGTTGCAGATAGTAGGTAATCAATCCTCTTTGGCG